ATATATTATATAATTTTAGAAAATATAAAATTATATAATATAATTCTAACTCTTATATATATATTTGTATGTGTATGTATTCGTTTTTAATATCGCCAAAACTTACGCAAATCACAATAGGAGAATCCGTTCCCTTGATAGCCTTCTTCACAACTGCAGTCTGCTCCATGATTCGTATTAATACAAACAGCATGTTCCGCGCAAGGATTTCGAACTAGACACGGCTCCTGGCAAGTATGCCCGATGCACGCCTCTGTCAGCGGACAATCCCTGTTGCTAGTGCAACCCGCTAGAGAAAGAGTGAGATAGCCCATGTAGCCCCAGAAAGTGTAGTGCACGAGTTATAGAACTTGAAATGAAAGAAATTTTCTTTGCGCAGCATGTGCATGATTTTCTCTTCTTTTCTATTGCAGCATTAGCCTTTCTTGCACATGTGCAAAAAAATATGCGAAACAGGAGAAAAACATTCTCCTAAATAAAGGAAAGACATGAATATCTCGAAGAGATCTCATTCGTCGCGATCATGCACGACATTTGTAATAGTATTATTAAATAAATATTCTGTGCTTTTTTTTTTTAAAGAACGGAGAATCTTATGTATATAATTTGCAAAATATATACGTGAGATATGTACAGTACATACATATTTACAAATCTTTCGATGGTTATAAATGACTGAAAATAAAATTAGATGCATCCAAACATGATGTTGACGCTCGTACGAACCTTTGACGCACGTGTTTGTTGACGGGTCGCATTGCATATCAGGTGGACAGTAAGGACATTTCGCTTTATTGCTGTCTCCTAAAAGAATTTTATAAAATAATAATTTTTTTTCGGAAATAAATATTCGTAAAATGCTATTCAATTTAATCGTGAATCTTACTTATGGCGCAGACCGGTCTATGATATTGAACATGACATTCTTCGACGAAGTCGCACGGATTGCCCAAGTTGCAAGGATTCACGCATTGTTGATTCACGCAAGCCAATTGGATGGGGCAGTCGTTATGTGTTGCACATTTCACGTCTAACGGAACAGACGCACATTAGATGCGGAAATTAATGTCATGAGTGAGAAAAGAGCGTAATGGAATGTTAATATACACTTCCCAACAGAAAATCTATTTGACCTAATCTTTAACCACTATGTCTTGGTATACTCTATCAAAAACGATAGCTATAACATTTTACTTAGCTCTATCACATAGGCATTGCGCCAGTGCAATACATAAACATGAACAAGAACAATGTACTTTTTCCTTTATGAGAGATAATGATATCTGTGTTATGTGTCCAGTATAAGAGAGCTAAGAGAGACATTGATGCGTCTACCTTTAAAGAAATTTTAAAATTTAAATTTTTTTTCGTGATTACAATCTATATTATTTACAATAACATTAATCTTGTGACAAGAGTTTCTTTATATGCAGTAACGGACAGTGTGCGTAAAAAAACGCTTTCCACAGAGCATAGACGACAAAAATTGCAATTTATTACATTTGTTAAATAGCTGTAAAACACAGAAAGTCGTGCAGAAGCGTGTTAATATACATAATCATGCAAAGAGCGCTAATGCAGCAGTCCTCGTCTGCATTTGGGAAGACAGTGTCTGACTGCCTGTTGACTATTTTCGGCACGGCCGTCATACGGGATATAGACAGGTGTTCGATTTACGCATCGCCCTTATGATATCAATGGCATTCTGTCATTCATTACATAGATTAGCCATTTCATGAAATAACCGATCATTCGGCAAGCAATGTTTACACCCTCCAGAATTGGTTGCTTCCAATTTTTATCTGGATACGATAATAACGGGCTCACATTGGAGGAAGCTTGCAGACAAGATCGGTGTGACAGTGACACATAAAATAATACCACAATTACAAAACTCCCGACGAGAAAAATTTTTACCTGGGAGTATGCTACAATTAGACGTGCTCTGCTCTGATTCTAAACACACAGGCCGATGATTCAGAACATCGCATAAAACATTCTCTGGGCATGGATTACAGGCCTTACACGGATTCTGGCATAGACGATCCACGCATGTCTCGCACTCTGTGCAATCTGTATCCAAGATGCAAGTCATATCTGTTTTATTCCAAGCAATTTCAGACGTGGTGGATTGTTCTGTAGAATATTGCATTGTCGCATATTGTTCTGTTGTAGAATATTCTGTTATAATGTGCTGTTCAGGTGTATATTGTTCCGTCGAGTATTGTTCTGTAGATTTTTCAAAAGTAGTACCATTCTCTACAGTAGAATATTCTTCTGTAGAGTATTCAGCTGTACTATGTTGTACTGTAGTAAATGATTGCGTAGATGTGATGGACTGCTCTGTAGTAGAATGCTCCTCTGTAGGATATTCAAAAGTACTATATCGTTCTGTAGTAGAAATCTGTTTTGTAGATTGTTCAGGTATAGTGTGTTGTTCTGTAGGCTGCTTTGATGTCTCAAGCTGTTCTGTAATAAAATATTCTTCTGTGCTATAACGTTCCGTAGTGGAAGTTTGTTCTGTCGATTCTTCCATTGTAGTATATTGTTTCAAAATAGTAGATTCTTCTGTAGGTTGTTGTGATGTTTTAAGCTGTTCCGTAGTAGAATATTCTTCTGTAAAATATTCAGAAGTACGGTATTGTTCCGTAGTTGAAACCTGTTCTGTAGATTGTGCAAATATAGTATATTGCTCTGTAGTCTGTTCTGATGTGGAATGTTCTTCTGTGGTATGTTCTGATGTGCCATAACCTTCTGTAGTAGAAATATATTCTGTAAACTCTTCAGTGTATTGTTTCGAGGTAGTGTATTGTTCTGTAGGTTGCTTTGACGTTCTGAATTGTTCTATTGTAGAATATTGCTCTGTAGAATATTCAGGAGTGCTATATTGTTCCGTAGTCGAGATCTGTCCTGTAGGTTGTGCAAATGTAGTGTATTGTTCTGTAGTCTGTTCTGTTGTAAGCTGTTCTGTAGTGGAACGATTTTCTGCGATATGTTCCAATATGCCATAACGTTCTGTAGTAGAAATATGTTCTGTAAACTCTTCAGGATATTGTTTCAAAGTAGTGTATTGTTCTGTAGGTTGCTGCGATGTTTTGATTTGTTCTATTGTAGAATATTGCTCTGTAGAATATTCAGGAGTGCTATATTGTTCCGTAGTCGAGATCTGTCCTGTAGGTTGTGCAAATGTAGTGTATTGTTCTGTAGTTTGTTCTGTTGTAAGCTGTTCTGTAGTGGAACGATCTTCTGCGGTATGTTCCGATATGCCATAACGTTCTGTAGTAGAAATATGTTCTGTTAACTCTTCAGTGTATTGTTTCGAAGTAGTGTATTGTTCTGTAAACTGTTGCGGCGTCCCAAGCAGTTTTGTTGTGGGATATCCTTCTGTAGTAAATTCAGATGTAGTATACTGTTCAGTAGTAGAAATCTGTTCTGTAGACTGTGCGGATGTAGTATACTGTTTCAAAGTAGTGTATTGTTCTGTAGGTTGCTGTGATGTTTCAAATTCTTTCGTAGAATATTCTTCTGTAAATTGAGATGTAGCATATTGTTCAGTGACAACGGATTGGTCTATTGTAGAAATATCAGTGCTTTTCTGAGTATTGATATTATCAGTAGTTGACTCATTTGTCGTAGATATAGGTGATTTAGATGTAATTACAGATAATGGAGTGGTATCTTTTACATATGACTCAGTGGTATATAATGATCCAATTTCGGCAGTGCTCGATTCTTGTGTAGTTTCTTTGGCACGTTCAATATTTATTGTAGATGTTTCAGCATGTTCTAGGATATTTGGAGATGATACAGTATGATCTGTTTGCATAGAAAACGTAGTACTGATTGTGCTATCAGTATTTTCTATATATGGTTTAGTAATTTCTTCTAACGGTTTTACTGTTAATTCTTTAGATTCTGTGGTAGTAAAATACTGTGTAGTAAAATATTGTGTCGTTGTAGCTATTGACGTTTCTCCAACACCTACATTAGGAACTTCTGTAGTAGGAACCATAGTTACATTCTTAGGAACTTCTGCAATGTTACTTACTTCCGTCGATTTAAACATTGTTGTTGTTTCAATGCCTTTATCAGAAATTGTAGTATCAATAATATCGGTACGATTAAATGTAAATGGAAAAGTTACAGTCGGAATAGCAGTTGTTTCAAATATTTCGGTTGTTGTAGAATTTTTCTCATAATCAAATTCAGATTCACTCTTTGTTGCCGCAGTTGTGGTAGAAGAAAATACATTTTCTGTAATCGTTTCTTTTGTAGGTGGAATAAGAGAAGTACTTGTTGATTCACTTTCAATAGTAATCGTACGTGCTGTTGTATATTCTGTTGAAGTTTCAATAAAATCAGTACTTTCAAATACTGAAGTAGTAAAACGACTAAACGTAACGTTCTCTAAAATATCAACGTTTGTCGTTGCAATTAAAGTATTGTTTAAAATATCAATTTCGGTTGCATTCAATATCGAAGGTACACTCGTTGTGTGATCCGAAAACTCGGTAACGGTTTCTGTCAATGCGACTGTTGTATCTGATATACTTATCATTTCGGTGGTAACATTTTCCAACAAATTTTCAGTAACTTCGGTTAAAGGAACTGTAGTTTTCTCCGTGTATGTAACAATTGATATCTCCGTGGTGGAAATAGGAGGTGTAGACGGCGGAAGATTAGTGCTTGTTCGTAATGTAGTATGAACGGTTTCGGAAGATGTGTGATCTGAATCTATAGAACGTAATGTTGTTACGCCACTATATAAACAATGTTTATCGTTAGGATCGCAACTGCAAATAGGCCTGTGCGCTTCAACCCGACACTGAACTGCCAATTGACACTCGTTGATACAGGGATCAACACAGGAACTTTCGACGCAAGCTTCTACGTCACTGCAGTCATCATCGGATTTGCAAACTGGCTTAGGCATGGGGTGAAGAACTGCTGCGGATATAATATAACGTAAACATAATAACTGATAAAGTGGCAAAAAACTGAAATTGAGAAGCGATTTTAATTAGGCTACGCTACAAATCAGTTTACAGTTTATTCTCAATTACTACAAATTAAGAGTTAGCATGCTCGCATCGTAATAGATAAGCTGATTATAAGAAACATTATATTTTAGGTCTTTACAGAGACAGATGTAACGGAAAAATCCTTCAGAGTAAATCGGCAGAGGAAATTGGCAGAATAGAGCAGGAGTTTAGGGTATGAGGAGAAGATACTTGTATCTGTAACTTGGAACCTGAAATATGCGTCCAGACAACAAAACAAGAAAACAATATGCATAAGATGTTATCGTAAAAAACAATTTCTTGCGCGTTAAAAACACTTCTGTAAATATGTTAAAATAATCACAAGCGATCATAAGAGTAACACAAAATTTTCAGCATATTTTGCTGTCTGAACGATGAAAAGACTGAAAAGTAGCAATTGTATGTCTCGTGTAAGGCCAGGCAATGTAAAGACGTGATAAAACGGCTAATGACAAGACTCAGACTAGTGTTTCTGAGAAATGGTGTTTACCTTTCATGCATCCGTATTTAGTATCTGGCACAAAGCCGGGGGGACAGAACTTGCAGATAGGCTTGTGCTCCTCCACGTAACAGGGGGCATCAGCCGAACAGGTGGAGTTTCTGCATGGGTCCACGCAGCGATAGTTGCGGCACGCCAAGTCTGGAGAGCAGCCACTGTCTCGCAGGCAAATGGAGAGGGAGGGATTGCAGTTTTTGGTGCAAATGCACACGGGACGGTGGTCCAGGACATCGCAGGTTTTATCGGCCGGGCACGGTCTTTTGTTTCGCACATTACAGGGATTTTGACATTTTCCGTTGACGCACGCGGCGTTCGACGGGCAATCGAAGTCCCTTGAGCAGGTGAGCGTGTCAGGGGCGCAGGTCAATTCCCCGATTTCGTTGACCACGAAGCCGTATTTGCAAACGCACGTAGGCCTGCGATTCCGTACCTGACACCTCTTGTTGATCTCGCAGGTATACCGATAACTCAAACACGGATCGCGACACTCGCCTGTCTGGGAGTGGCAGGAGAGGCTCTCTGGACAGTCGTGGTCGGAGGAACAACTGATGCTCGGCGTAGGTTTAGGATTGGGCGTATCGCATTTAGAATCTGGATGGCAGGCCGTGTGGGGCATGCCGATATAACACTGCGGACACGAGCAACGCGGCTTGTGCAGAACCACTCGGCACAAAGCATTGATCCCACAGGCACCGCGTAGCGCGCACGGGTCCAGACATTGTAGATTTATGCAGGCTTTTTCATTGGGGCACTCTAAGTCGCTGGTGCATTCGCGCTCTATTGTCACACGATAGTGGTGTAGTTGAACGGTGTAGAGTCAGTCGTGGTGGGTCGTGGGTGGGACAGGAAAAAAAAAGAAAAAAGCATTTATAAGAACTGTGAAAAGAAACTTTCTCACAAATAACATAAACCACATGCTTTGTATTTATATATGATGAAAGTAGGGTAGCTCTGTGAAGAAGTATAGAGTAAATAAAACAACGACTTTACATTTTATCAAAATATATCTTCTCGGAGAAATTACAACGGCAAGCAGCGATATTTACAACACAAGCCCCCACAGATTTCAGAATATAGGAAGAAATAATAAAACCCGTGAATATCAGCAAATATCAAGCATGGGTATATGAGAATGTCCCTTTCGCAGTTCCCAATCTGTACTAATCCTAGAATATAGAGATATATATATAAATATATATGGTGTCGATTGTAAATGTGTACCTCCTTGTATTCAAGTGGCACTATAAGGTAAACGAGTACATCCTCAAAACAGATTGGATACTGAAATAAACATTCTACATATAAAGTTATGTGTGAGATATGTGTAAGATACGTGTTCTCTCTCAATCAAAAATTATGTACAGTATGTCTTATATTGTATATATATATGTATATATATATATATATATTAATATATTAATTTTTATAATATATTAATATTAATTTCTAAAAACAAAACAGACTTAAAAAATTCTCAGGACTCACCTTTGGACAGGCGTTATTGATGTCGCATTTGATGCGACATTTGCCACTGTGACAAACCTCTCCGCAAGAACAGTCGTTTTGATTATGGCAACTGGTAGTGCAAAAACCGATCTCGTCGCACTCACACGAACCGTCGCAAGGAATCATGGTCTTGGCGCAATTGATCAAGGCGTTGCCGTAATAGTTAGCGGGACAGTTACATTGAGCTACGTGATTTACAACGCGACAGCCGGCACACTCTCCGCACGCTTTGCCTCCCTCGCATGGACCTGAAGATAATAATGCAATTAATTGCATCGCTCGTAATTAAAAAGTAATAATTTCACGATGTATGATTTATAGTATACTTACTTCTGCATTGATTGTTGATACAAGATTCATCACTTGGACATGTGTTATCGCTGCGACATCCAATGTCGCACATGCGATTGTGACATATTTGATTCGCAACGCAGTGATCATCGCTGTTACATATAGCTTTACAAATACCGCCATCGCAACGTTCATCGCTCAAGCAGTTTGCATCACTAAAAAAAATATAATTATTTAGCACGCATCGGAAAATCGTGAGAATTCGTTCACATGCTCATGTGATCTCTTACCTTCTACATATGGAATAACAAGATCTGCCATAGCACGTTTGTCCCGGTAAACATTCGAGTTTAGACGAGCAAGAAAGGAAAGCCTGTTTGCATCCGATACGAGCGTCTCCTATTAAGGGCGACGAGCACGTGCATATCTTTTGATGATTAACAGTCGTGCACTTGGCATTTACGCCGCAAGCGTCAGCCAATGAGCATGGATCTGTAAAAGTAAAAGCAAAAGATGATATACATTTATATGCCGCCTGACCATATAAAAAAAAAAAAACATAATTTACAGGAAAGCAAAACCATAAATTCGATAATCGCGTCTTATGCAAGAGAGAATTTTTATATAAAAAGAATATTAATAGAGATATCTCACCTGTACATTGGTTGTTTATACACGCATAATTGTCTTGACACTCAATATCCGCCCGACAACCGGAAACGCATACCAGTCCCTCGCAAATCCCGCCACTCCTGCAGTCTTCGTCCCGTCTGCAGAGTGATTTGCAGATACCGGAGCTGTCGCATCTCTCATTGCTCAAGCAGTTCTCATTAGTCGAGCACACAGATGTACATGTACCGGCGACGCAAGCCATACCCACGGCGCACTCCCGATTAGTCGTACAAGTCGGACCAGGTGATCTCAGACACGCGACCTTGGCTGTCGGATTCGGCATGAAGCCTGAAGGACAGGAACACGTGGCGCGTTGGTTGAAGACGATGCACTTGGCGTTTGGTCCGCATGGCGTGGCCTCGCACGGATTCACGCACTTGTTGCCTGAACACGCCTCGTTTGCGTTGCAATCCTCGTCGGCACGACAGCCAAATGTGCACATATTGTTCAGGCAAATGTGGCCCAGGAAGCAGTCATTGTCCAGTCGACAGGTTAGTAAGCAGTTGCCGCGAATGCATTTTTCGTTCAACGCGCATTCGTCGTCGATGGTGCAGATCGGCAAACAAACGTTCTCACGACAGGTGTTGCCTTGGTTGCAGTCTCCACTTCCTACACAGGATACTGGCACTACGAGCAATGATGGATTCGTAATTTTGTAAACAGTATGACGAGAAATTGTTCTAATGATAAATATTGAGAAATTGCGTTTCACACACTTACATCTTACGCATTCCACTTCAGAGTTACCGGTGAAGCCTGGTGGACAGCTGCACTGTTTAATGTGACTTTTCACTTTGCATTCGGCGTTTATGCCGCAGGCTTCTCTCACGTCACACGGATACAAACATTGTCCGTTCAAGCAAACATCGGACAAGTTGCATTCCTCATCCGATTGACAAGATGCTAAAATAATATTATTTATGTTATTAAATGCGACAGAGTATCTCTTCTATTGAAAAGTTTGATATTTAAAGATAACTTTTACTCACGTCGACAAATGCCCTCGTAACAATAGGTATTGACTGGACAATCAACGTGCGACGAACAGATGACCGGTTTCGGACGACATCCTACGCTCAGATTATTCGGATCGCCTTCGTAATCGGTGCGACACACGCAACTCGCGCTATGGTTACTCGCGATACAATCTGCATTTGGACCACACCGGGTACGTGCGCAAGTATCTAGAGTAAGAAAATTAGATTAGACACATACATATCTTTTAAATATATATTATATTATATTACATATAATTAAATATAAAGCAAAATATTTAAATTGATTAAAATGAAAAATAAGATATAATTATAAGAAATAAATTGACAAACTTGATATGCGTACCGAAACATTTCGGTACGTTATTAATATTAACGCATTTGGCAGTTAGCGGACAGTCTGTGTCCTGGAAACATTCCACCGGCGGTTGACAGCCGCTATTATAAGCATCTCCGACAGTACCGGGCTGACAATGACATTTGAAGTATCCCCGTGAGTTTTCGCACAATGCACCCGGTGCGCAGGGCGCATTGGCACAGTAATCTATCAGTTCGCAAGCATGCGTGGGTTCTCCCGTGTATCCAGGTTGACATGTACAAATCTAATGAAGAGACCGCACAAAGATCGTACGTTACCATAAAGATCATCACTCTATCCGATGAAAAGATCTAATCTCAAAGATTCTGGAACGAGATAATTACTTGTACGTGTTTCTCCGTTGTGCAAATCGCGTTTACGCCACAAGGATTATGAGCGAGGCAGGCGATTCTACATCTGTGCAGATCGCAGATCTTTTCCTGAGTACAATCTTCGTTGACTTCGCATTCGATAGGCTGACAACCGATCTTATCGTCTTTAGAGTTTCCGAAGAAACCGTGCTTACAGGAACACGTTGCGGCGTGATTATCAGTCTTACATTCGGCGTTACGGCCGCAGAGTATCAAATCACAAGCTGTACGGCACTCCGCCTATAATAATTAACAGAGGGACGAATATATATTATACATTGATAATTACTGAAACAATTAAAAGTTCATTTTCACACGCACTCATAGAGAAATTTTGTATATAATGAAACGTATGATTACCTGTCCGATATTGTTTTTAATGCACTTTTCGTCATACGCACAGTCATTGTCTGACGTGCAACGTAATTCTTGAACACATATGTTATTATGGCAGTATTGATATTCCGGGCAGCTGGAATTACTTCTGCAAGTAGGCTGACAAACGCCATTGATGCAGAGTTGATCGCCGATGCAATCCCTCGTACTTCCGCAAAGCGCTACGAGTTGCAAATAAGATTTAGACTTTATAACTCGTAATAAAAATTAATTTGATCATTTTTACATAATTATCTGAGCTTGATTTACCTGTGCATATACCTCCGTTGCACACCGAACCGGTTGCGCATTGCGAATCAGTCTTGCAATATTGGAGCGGCGTGCATCCAAGATTCGGATCACCTGTGCCGCCAGGTTGGCAGGTACACACCGCGCTATGATTGAGCGCGGAGCAATCAGCTCCATGTCCACAAACGTTCGAAAGAGAACAAGGATCGACGCATTTATGATCGAAGCATGCATCTGATTGACTGCAGTCGCTATGATAATTGCATTCCAGATGAATACACTCCGTCTAAAAATGCAAAGCGCGCGATTAGAAGATCGATTATAAACGGAAAATATATATAATGTTATATAAAAAAATATATAACGCCTTCCTTATTTAAATTTAATTAAAAACAGAAAATTATTATTTATCTATACATGCAAGCATAAAATAATATTAAACAACTAATCTCTTTTTAAAGTATTTTAAATAAAAAATCATTATAAAAATAAATACTCTAATTAAATTAATTTTAATATATGGGGATTTTGTGATTAATTATAAATACGTAAAATCTAACCTTTTTAGAAATGAACTTAATACTCACTGCTGGATTTCCTGTTGTCTGCCCAGGACATCTGCAGATTGGAACGTGATCACGTGCAAGACACTCCGCATTTCTACCGCAAATTCCCGGTGCCTCGCATGGATTAGTGCATTTATTATCAATGCAAGCGGCTGAATTAGGACAATCCGAATCTGTGAAGCAATCGCCGGGTTCCTTACAACCAGTTTTGAATGGATCTCCTACCAAACCATGCGGGCAAACACAGGCAAACGATCCCTCCGTGTTTTGGCATCTATATGTTTTCGAGATGTTATTACGAAATACCGATTGAGAAATTATAAGTTCTTGTAATTAATTATTGAAGATTGTAAATTTTGCTTACGTAGCTGAGGAATGGCTTAAATATAAAGCAAAATATTTAAATTGATTAAAATGAAAAATAAGATATAATTATAAGAAATAAATTGACAAACTTGATATGCGTACCGAAACATTTCGGTACGTTATTAATATTAACGCATTTGGCAGTTAGCGGACAGTCTGTGTCCTGGAAACATTCCACCGGCGGTTGACAGCCGCTATTATAAGCATCTCCGACAGTACCGGGCTGACAATGACATTTGAAGTATCCCCGTGAGTTTTCGCACAATGCACCCGGTGCGCAGGGCGCATTGGCACAGTAATCTATCAGTTCGCAAACATGCGTGGGTTCTCCCGTGTATCCAGGTTGACATGTACAAATCTAATGAAGAGACCGCACAAAGATCGTACGTTACCATAAAGATCATCACTCTATCCGATGAAAAGATCTAATCTCAAAGATTCTGGAACGAGATAATTACTTGTACGTGTTTCTCCGTTGTGCAAATCGCGTTTACGCCACAAGGATTATGAGCGAGGCAGGCGATTCTACATCTGTGCAGATCGCAGATCTTTTCCTGAGTACAATCTTCGTTGACTTCGCATTCGATAGGCTGACAACCGATCTTATCGTCTTTAGAGTTTCCGAAGAAACCGTGCTTACAGGAACACGTTGCGGCGTGATTATCAGTCTTACATTCGGCGTTACGGCCGCAGAGTATCAAATCACAAGCTGTACGGCACTCCGCCTATAATAATTAACAGAGGGACGAATATATATTATACATTGATAATTACTGAAACAATTAAAAGTTCATTTTCACACGCACTCATAGAGAAATTTTGTATATAATGAAACGTATGATTACCTGTCCGATATTGTTTTTAATGCACTTTTCGTCATACGCACAGTCATTGTCTGACGTGCAACGTAATTCTTGAACACATATGTTATTATGGCAGTATTGATATTCCGGGCAGCTGGAATTACTTCTGCAAGTAGGCTGACAAACGCCATTGATGCAGAGTTGATCGCCGATGCAATCCCTCGTACTTCCGCAAAGCGCTACGAGTTGCAAATAAGATTTAGACTTTATAACTCGTAATAAAAATTAATTTGATCATTTTTACATAATTATCTGAGCTTGATTTACCTGTGCATATACCTCCGTTGCACACCGAACCGGTTGCGCATTGCGAATCAGTCTTGCAATATTGGAGCGGCGTGCATCCAAGATTCGGATCACCTGTGCCGCCAGGTTGGCAGGTACACACCGCGCTATGATTGAGCGCGGAGCAATCAGCTCCATGTCCACAAACGTTCGAAAGAGAACAAGGATCGACGCATTTATGATCGAAGCATGCATCTGATTGACTGCAGTCGCTATGATAATTGCATTCCAGATGAATACACTCCGTCTAAAAATGCAAAGCGCGCGATTAGAAGATCGATTATAAACGGAAAATATATATAATGTTATATAAAAAAATATATAACGCCTTCCTTATTTAAATTTAATTAAAAACAGAAAATTATTATTTATCTATACATGCAAGCATAAAATAATATTAAACAACTAATCTCTTTTTAAAGTATTTTAAATAAAAAATCATTATAAAAATAAATACTCTAATTAAATTAATTTTAATATATGGGGATTTTGTGATTAATTATAAATACGTAAAATCTAACCTTTTTAGAAATGAACTTAATACTCACTGCTGGATTTCCTGTTGTCTGCCCAGGACATCTGCAGATTGGAACGTGATCACGTGCAAGACACTCCGCATTTCTACCGCAAATTCCCGGTGCCTCGCATGGATTAGTGCATTTATTATCAATGCAAGCGGCTGAATTAGGACAATCCGAATCTGTGAAGCAATCGCCGGGTTCCTTACAACCAGTTTTGAATGGATCTCCTACCAAACCATGCGGGCAAACACAGGCAAACGATCCCTCCGTGTTTTGGCATCTATATGTTTTCGAGATGTTATTACGAAATACCGATTGAGAAATTATAAGTTCTTGTAATTAATTATTGAAGATTGTAAATTTTGCTTACGTAGCTGAGGAATGGCAAGGATTTTGCAAGCACTCATTAACGTCAGCGCAGATGTCGCCGATGAGAACAAAACCAGGGTAGCATTTACAGACGCTGACATGGTCGATGGCCAGGCAATTGCCATATCCGCAATTTACTTGATTGCAAGGACCTGATTAGAAAGAAGTTGAAAGTTGAAAGATTTAGAAGATCTGATATTTATCGCGCATTTTACTAAAACACAATAAATATATCAAGTGCAACGCAATCTTTATCAATACAGAGTAAGTATCGCAATAACGCGGCAACTTACTGCTGCACTTGTTGATCTCCTGATTGCAGTATTTATCTATCGGACAATCACTGTTGGAAAGGCATTCTACTTTGAAGCAGCCCGAGGCATCGCCGATGTAACCAGGCTGGCATTGACAACCAGCCGTGTGATCCAGAACGGTGCAAATAGTATTCAAGCCGCAGTCGACGAAAGAACACGGATCCGAACAATTGTGATGAATGCAGGCTTGCGTGTCCGGACAATCCGTTTGCGAGATGCATTGATGCGGCAGAGTGCAGCCCGATCCTATAGGATCGCCCGCAGTGCCTTGAGGACAAGTGCAACGATAAGATCCGTGGAGATTAATACATTCGGCACTCGGATGACACGGTTGATCCTCGCACTCATTTATATCCAGACAATGTTCGGGACCGGCGATAAATCCATGGCTGCATCTGAAAAGTTAAATTAAATATTTTACAAGACCTCCTACACACAAAGATAAAATATCTATTTTAAATATGCAGCATATAAGCAATATATATTTAGTAAGATAATTCGTCAGATAAAATGACTGATACCTGCACTTGTTGTTGATGCACACTTCGTCGCGTTTGCACCCGACATCCGATGTACAGCCGGCTTCGCAAGTACCATCGATACACAGTTCGCCGGGCAAACAGTTACTATCACCGTAACATATCTTTACGCAAATACCATTCTTGCAACGTTCGCCTTGCGCGCAGTTGTTTTGTTCCGAACATTGACATTGGCACAATCCCGAGACGCATAGATGTTGACTAGGACAGTCCTGCGGAGTCTGACATGTGCTCGGCACTCGAACACAACCTTGTTCCGGAGTAGGATTACCGTGAAAACCAAGAGGACACGTGCATGTAACCGCATGATTTGTGCAACTACAGATTGCATTTGATCCACATACGTCTTTTCTGTCGCAAGGATCTAGAAATAAATCGGAAATATTTTTTTTTATTTCAGAATCTTCTTACATATTTTGTTTTGTTAATTTATATTAATATAAAAAATAATGTGTTTATAAAGATAATATAGTTGCAGCATACCTTGACACTTATTGTTAATACATGATTCAATAGTTAGGCAGTTTTTGTTGCTGCGACAACCGAGAATACACCCTCCGCTAGCACATGCCTGATCCACTTGGCACTGAGAATGCGAAATGCATGATACCATACACTTGTTGTTGATACATTTCTCTCCGTCTGAACAATCGGCGACCGAACGACAAACAGCTAAAAAACGACAAGAGTTTTCTCATAACATTTTTAAAAACTTTTCAAATTAAAATTTTTCAATTTGACGTATAACAAAATTACTATATATTAATTCACTGTTAACCTATTTAATAATTAATAAGAACGTCGGATATTACCTCTGCATTGTCCATCAAGACACACGTTGTTCTCGCATTCAGAATCCACCGTGCAATAATTCGTACCCCGTACGCAGCCGTGTTCCGGGCCCTTCGAGGACGGCACGAATCTGTGGATGCACTTGCAACTTGGCCGATCGTCCACGACCTCGCAGAGCGCGTTGGCGCCGCACGCGTTCTCGCACGGATTCACGCAGCGATGTTCGTGACAGATGGAATGTACCGGACAGTCCTTGGAACCGGAGCAATATCCTTCCGGCTGGCAGCCGTTCGTGTAAGGATCGCCCACGTGATTCGGCGGGCACCGACACACCGGTTCATTCGTCGAACCAGCGACGCAGAGCGCGGTCGGATGACAGGAGTCCGGACGACACGTCTCGACGGGGACGCACTCGACGTCGGGCACCGGGTTCGGGCGTAGTCCGGGCGGGCACTGGCAGATCGCTTTGTGGTCGTCCGCGATGCAAACGGCATTCACCCCGCACGCGTTCTCGTCGCAGGCATCGTAGCAAGTGTGCGTAAGCCGGTTGCAGAGCTGCGCCGGCGGGCAATCGATGTTGTAAACGCAGGGCACCGCGCGGCAACCGGACGTCGGGTCGTTTGGATCGCCGGCGTATGATCCTAGCGGGCACTCGCAGTTAGCCACGTGATTATTGACGACGCAGAGCGCGTTCGGACCGCAGGAGATAAAATCGCAGACCAGTTGACAGGCGAGCGGACCATCTGGAGTGCCGCGACACGTCTGATCCTCTGAACATTCGCTGTCGGTGGTGCAACGGTTCTCGCGCGGGCTCTGACAGCCCCGGCGATCGTTCGGATTACCGGTGTAGCCCGGCAAACAATCGCAACGGCCGTGATGGTTTTCCGCCACGCAGCGGGAATTCGCGGTGCAGGTGAAACCGTCGCAAAGCGACATACATTTGAGCACGCCGAGCGCGTCCGGTCTGCAAGCCTCACTCGAATGGCAATCGTTGTCGCTTATGCAATCGGGCACCGACGGCTTCTCGCAAGACGACAGTACCGGATTCCACTCATAGCCGTCTTGACACTTACAGGTAGCATGACCGGGTACAACGTCAGGCTCGCATTTCTGATAAGCGCCGCACACCACGTTGCTGCAAGGATTCACGCAGTCACGTATACCACCGTCTAAGGTGATGCAGAAGAAACCTGGCTCACAGTCCGAATCGTGTGTGCATCGTAGTATCACGGATTTGGATGGCTGACAACCCTCGACCAGATTACTCGGATTGCCCTGGTAACCGTCGACGCACAAGCAGGAAGACACGTGATTTTGCGTGATGCATAATGCGTTAGGTCCGCACTGTAGCTTGCTGCAAGCATCCACACACTTGCGAACTCCTTTACCGATCTGGAAGCAAATCTCCTGGGGCTCGCATTCAAGATCATTCGAGCAATGGCCATGCAAGTGACAGCCTTTGTGCAGATCGTTGGGATTGCCGCTGTAACCAGGGGGACACACGCATGCTCCGTTTTGACAAACAGATCTGGGGCCGCATTTTATGTCACTGCATTGGTTTATGCACTTATGATCGACACAGGTGTAATCGAAAGGACATGGTGCAGTGTCACTGCAGACGCAAGTCGAAGGATCGGCGCACGGGCCTACTTGCACCTGCCGGCATCCGACGAAGGGATTGCCAAAGAAGCCATTCTTGCAACGACAATCGTAGCTTCCGATGGTATTGATGCACACCGCGTTACTGCCACATGCATTTCCGTTGCATTCATTGATGTCTAATGAAGAAATATAAAAGAGATTTGTAAGACTCTTACTTTTATATTTATTACGATTAGTACTAAAGTATTAGAAGAAAATGAAAATATTGTGGCAGTGTTTCAACAAATGGCTTTCTGTTAAATGGCAATATAGTTACAAGTAATTATTAAAAAAACATAAAGAGATCACAAATAGAAGATGATGAAAATTATTTAAATACAAATATTTACAAATACAATTTATAAATACAAATTTATAAATACAAATAAGCTGGTTGATTTTTATAATAAAAGATTGTCATAATTCTCTTTCCGATATTTACATGTTGTGCAAAATTATTCAATTATACTCTTTAAATTTTATCACATACCACTTCTGTAACAATTATAAAAAACAACATACTGCTGACAAACTGAGAAATTTACAATTTAAATAAAATTTAATTTTAAAAAATAGTATAAAAAATTAAATTAAAATTAGCTATACTAACCAAAGCATTGGATAAACGGATTGCCAGCGAAACCATGTGGGCAGAGACACTCGACAGCATTGGGACCTGCGTTACAATGCGCGTCCTTTCCGCACACCGCGGTGGAGCAATCAGATTTCTCTTGAATACCACAGCCGTGATAAGGATTTCCACTAGTACCCGGATTGCAGACACATTTTGATTCTTGAAGACCATATTCGCAATGCGCGTTTTTCCCGCAGATTGGATCGCAATGAGGTGGTTGAATCGCTATGTATATAGAGATAAATTATTTAATACTTATAAATTATTAAATATTATGTTTCTCTTTTTTTCTAGAGAAACATTTGTGAAACGATATAAATCTCACCACGGACGCGTATTACACTTACGTGGCATACAGAGTAGGTCGGGATTGCCGACAAAGTAAGGGTTGCACACGCATTTATTCGTTAAAGGCTCGCACACGGCTCCGATGCCGCAAACCACCCCCTCGCAACGTCGCTTGCAACGTCCGCTGATGCACACGCTTGGCTCGGCGCATGGGATTTCAGGTGAGCAAACATCCGGCACGCATTGTCCACCAGGGAAAGGATTACCCATAAAACCTTCGATACATTTACAGGTCGGCCCATCGTAACTGACGATACATTGAGCCCCGGTGCCGCAAACAAAGCCATCGCATTCTATATTAGGAAAAAATTGCAATATGCAATTATATTGCAACATGCAATAAAATCACAGCTGATATCCCTCACTAATTAATAACAGATTAACAAAATATACGCGTAAAAATTAAAATTGATAATATAATAAAATATCATCCAATATCTTTTAACAAACAATTTATATAAATCGTTCGTAATATTATTTTTTAATTAAAAAATATCTCTTACAATTATTTAATTAAAATACTATACGATTCCCGTGCAGTATTATTTAAAAATATATACTCACGTGAGACACATTCGTTGTTTACGCCCTCCGTGAAACCAATAACGCATCTACACCACGCGGCGTGCTTATCGGGCTCGCAATACGCGTTTGGACCGCACGGTATATTGTCGCAAGGATTAACGCAGCTTCCTTGGACGCATGCCAGATAATTTTCACAATCGTCGTTGGAGGAACACTTGTTTTTGCCAGTCGGAACTCCCGTACAGCCGGCACCGTAAGAATCACCAACCATACCTTTAGGACACTCGCACACGTGATCTCCCTTCGTGTTGATACAATACGCGCCATGACCGCAAGGATTATTCGCGCACTCGTTCACGTCAACGCAACCGTGCTGCGGATCACCCTCGAAGCCAGCCTCGCACATGCATCGCGGCGGATCGCTCGGCGTGCATTTCGCGTTAATACCGCATGGGAAACGGTCGCAAGGATCTGCAATAATGGAGAATATTAATGACAAAACTATGAAAACTATAATTATAATAAAAAAATGGATTTTTCGTAGACTCACTCTTGCATAGATTTCCATCCAAGGGATCTGTGTAGAACGGTGGTGGACACACGCATTCGCCGGGTTGCACGCATTTCTCGTTAGCCTTGCATTCGTTGTCGTTGGTACATCTCTTCTGGGCTGGAGAGCAAAGGCCATTGTACGGATCGCCGCCATATCCGTGCGGGCACACGCATTGATGGGCGCCTGGTATATTGATACATTCGGCACCGTAACCGCAGACTTGGTGTCCCACGATACACTCGTTTATATCTACGTACAAATTAATAATTGATCCATCGATCGTATCAAGTACAATTATCAACTGCTATCAATTATCAACCTAACCTGCATGTCAATCAACAATTATCAACCTAACCTGCATGTCGATCAACAATTATCAACCTAACCTGCATGTCTCTCGACACGACTGTCGTCAAATAAAAAATTCACGCTCGTAAGTCAAAATAACCGAAAACAACGTACCTTCGCAGGATCCATCAAATTTGGTCGTGTAACCTTTGGGACAGGCGCAATAGCTGACACCGCCGGCAATCGTAATACACTCGGCACCGCTCGGACACTTCTCGCCTTTCGAGCATCCAGCCAGCATGCATTTGCCATTGACGATCTTGTACGGCGGTTGACACTGACATTCGATGCTGTTGCATTCTGCGAATTTTCAAAATTTTCCAGTCTTAATCAACAGTATCAACAATAGTAATAATTATCATAATTTATATTATGAATATGTATAAGAATATCAAAGATAAATCGAAAATATTGTCTACCTTCGCAAAGCGAGAAAGGATTTCCATTGAAGCCCGGTGGACACTGGCACTCATAGCTGCCGGGGAGATTTTTGCAAATTGCATTGACGCCGCAGGCAGGCTTCTCTCTTAGCTCCATACATTCGTTGATGTCTCTGCATTTACCCGTCTCGTGATCGCGCATATAACCGCGTTGACAGATACAAACGCTACTGCCCACGAATTCATCCTTAATACACTGCTCTCCAGCGGGACAGGGCGCACTGGGGCCACATACATGAGGTGTTTTCGTCTTTTGACAGCCGCCGCTGTAAGGATCGCCCGTCATGCCGCTCGGACATTGACACGAGAAGGAACCGGGCTCATTGTTGCAGATAGCGCCCGGAGGACACGGATTTATCGCGCACTCGTCGATATCCCGGCAACCACCCTTTACTCCAGGCTTTCCGGTGTAACCGTTGCTGCAAAGGCACGTCGCCACGTCGTTCAGGAGCATGCAGTGGGCGTTTGGTCCGCAGGATAGATCTTCACATGGATCTGATCGGGCAAATGCAAAAAATTACGTGCTAATAGTATTTTGTATACATAAAAAAAGAAAACAATTTTTCTGCATTTTATATAAAAAATATGAAAGGAAAGTTATATAAAACATCTCATTTAAAATAAGAAATATATTATACTTACGCCTGCAATCGTTTCCGACATTGGGCTCGGGACATAGACATCTCTTTTGCGGATCACAAATAGCGTTTCCTGGACAATCGTCATCAACCTCGCACCTGACTATACCAACACACTTAATGTAGGGATCGGGATCCGGTATGGTTTCCTCCGGACAAGTGCAAGCGTAAGAACCTTCGGTATTAGTACACGTTGCTCCATGACCGCAAACAGGTTTGGTGCATTCATCAAAATCTGCATTTATTTAAACAATATGTAAATTTAATCAATAAGTAAATACAAAGCAATAATTGAATTAGTATAATTTATAAATAGAGATATCGATAGATTTATTATTAAATAATAAATAGTTATCTATACACATATATAAATATTAATAAATTAATAATAGATTTTTGTAAAATTATGCAAAATTAGAATATTTATTATTAATTAATAATTTATCTTGTGCAAGAGTTTTACCTATACATTGTTTGAAGGCATTTCCTGAAAAGCCAGGTTTACATTGACAACTGAAATCACCGGGTATATTCGTGCAAATAGCATTTTTGCCGCATCTTCCAGAAGGTCCATTTATTGCATCGCATTCGTTTATGTCTAGATAAGGAAAATAAAACCGTATTCGCAAAAGAAAACTTCTATTTATGCGAAGGAATAGTCAATGAATGTCTTGATTTATAGAGAAAACATCCATTTACTTACCAACACATCCAGCCGCTATATCGTTTGGATTAAAGGTCCAACCGTCTTCGCAAATGCAATAAGCCTCGTGACCGTCAGCCTTACAGAAGGCATGTTCGCCGCAAGTTACCTCATCACACGGTGCTTCGAAATAACATAAATTATGTAATTTTATAAAAGAGAGTTCTTGTTTTTTCTCTTTATAATTTTCTTAAAAATTTTTTTGTATGTAACGTTTTTCTTTCTAAAATGTAATACTATGGTAAATATAATTAACGATTACCTTTACATGCTATGTGGGGCGGAGTACCAACGAATCCGGATTCGCATTCGCAATGATAGCTCCCTCTAATATTCGTACAGATCGATGCGGGTCCGCAGGGATTAGTAAGACACTCGTCCAGATCTGTGCACTCAGCACCGACAGCCTTGAAACCATCCTTACAGAAGCACTGCCCTTCGATGCACTCGGCATTGTTGACACAGTCAAAGTTCGATTTACAAAGAGTCGTTACGTCGGTCTGAAAATTATATGACGGTGACAATTCCTTTCACATATTCATTATATTGGTCTTGGAAATAAAAACCGGTTTTTTTGTGCCTGTAGGTATATTTTTTAGATCCGCGAATAAGGAACACATATGTAATAAATGGAATTGTGAGAATAGGTTTTGCGGCTTTACAAACAACGGAAAGAATATGGCTTTGGAAAAGAGGTAAACTGTATAAAACCGGTTCGCATTCGTCTTGGTTTGGCATACAATGCCGCTTTGTTTGCTTTCTTTTTTCTGTCACCTTCGTAAAGAAGAACCGCGAACCGGTCCAAGATGCAGAGCAGAATCTATTTTTGGGAGATGTTTGTCTCGGGATATTTGTAGGCCTTGTGTATACTTATGTATGCACGAGGTGACTACTCAAGACACAACGGGATTATTGAATTATTACCTGTTCGCATGCAACTGCCGAACTGGGGTTGGCACTATACCCCGTGGGGCAGATGCAATTGTAACCAGGTACCTCGTTCTTGCAAATCGCATTCCTACCACAAGGATTCTCCAGAGCCGTGCACTCGTCGATATCTAGAAAAGAAACGAGATATCGTGATAATAGAAAAATCTTATTAATTTAAATAACGTGCAAATCAGTTTGAGAATCGACGACACGCACATTTATGTGTTGAGCGATCATTTTAAACGATCTATAATTTGCGACAAAATTTGAAATAGAATTCTATGTATAATTTTATATGTCGTGTAACAAAAAGCATTTAAGAAAAAAATAACACATATATATACAAAACACATACCACACAATACACATTAAAATATGCGTTAAAGAATATTATTTACGATTTTATCGCAAATTATAAATTGTCTAAAGCAGACTTGACAGGCTAAAAAAATTTGACTTTGTATGATAAAAGCGGGAAGTACAAGCATAAATCTAATTTTATGCAAATAATCAATTTCTAATTTATGGAAATATAAAGAAGAAATTGTAATAAATATATCAAAGTCATATCTCAACAGAAGATTGGATCTGGCACTCTTAGATGCATTCATTGAATTCATATAGTGAGTGTCTCTCCGCAAGAAGAGATGTATCAGTAAGCTAACCACTGCACTCCTTGAAAGGGTCGCCCGTGTAATCCGCCTTGCAGCTGCAGACGAAGCTGCCGATCGTGTCGATGCATTCGGCATTCTCGCCGCATGGATTGCGCTTGCATTCATTCACGTCTGTTAATCGCAAGATGAGTCTTATTAATCGTTAACGCGCAATACAAACATGCAATGAGATAGATTAAAAATATAGCAAGCTTGGTGACTGACTTTCGCAAAGGGTTAGTCCTTGGCCGATGAAACCCAGCGGGCAAATGCACTTGTACGAGCCCGGGACGTTGATGCATCTCGCGTTGGTCACGCAAGCGTTCGCGCCAACGCACTCGTTCACGTCGACGCAACCATGCGTGGGATCCATTTGATAACCGACATGGCATCTGCACTCGAAGCTACCGTCGGTGTTTACACATTCCGAGTTTGCTCCGCAAGGTAAACCTTCCTCGCACTCGTTTATATCTGTTAGTGACGGTTAGTTAGTTGATTAATTCTTGGCACGAGCACAAACGCAAAAGTCTGTGAGTTTAAGCGGGACTGTTACAAACATATATTATAACACAGACTAACACACAATAAATCTTGGAATCTAAACTCTAGCATAAGTACTAAAGCTAGCATATTTTTGCTATCTCTCTTGGTGAGAGATTTTAATCAAAATGAATTTTACGTTTGTTAAAATACTGATTAGAGTCATGATAAACAATGTTATATTATTGAAGCATGATAATTAATGTAAAGTCGTTCCTACGATACAAAATTTTATTTCTTACTTACCACACATAACTGTATTGTTGTAATATAACAATTTAGCTCTCAGTAGTTGCAATAAAGTATAACAAGTAAGTAAGATGGTAATTATAAAAATTTTCTCAGGTCTTACCATGACAACCTGACAATGGATCACCGTTCATTCCCTCAGGACAGGAACACCGGAAGCTACCGTATACGTTCGTACAGAGAGCAGAACGTCCGCAAGGACTCCTTAGACACTCGTCGATGTCCCTGCACTCCTCATCGGGACTACCGTCGTATCCTTGAGGACATTCGCATTTATGCGCGCCTGGTAAGTTTACGCATAGTGCACCCCTTCCGCAGGCACCCTCGTATTCGCATTCGTTAATATCGATACACTAAATTTAAACAAATTTATAATTATATATATTATCCCTAATTTGCCGCTATCTAATAAATCCATTATTATTTTTTTAATTTCCCGCAATAGATTTTAAACTTTATATTTTATCTATATAAGTCTAAATTTATTTTACATATAATATATAAGGAAATTTTTAAAATTAATCAAAATATTTAAATTGTTTTACGATTAAAAAACTTTAAACAAATATTTAATATTGTTATTATTAATAATTATTACTTTCATTATTATGATCAAAAATTTTTATACAAATGTTTTTATATATAATTGGAATTTGTCTATATATAATATATAATCTATATTCTATTGATATACTATTAATATACTATCTATATTCTATTGATATACCTGTTTTTATTATTTTCATGTACTCACACTGTTGTACGGGTCTCCCGTAAATCCGTCTTGACACGTGCAGGTGTAATTGCCAGGTATGTTGTGACACACGGTATTGTCGCCGCATGCACCTGGTATCGCGCATTCATTCACATCTTCGCAATGCACCTCACCGTCGCCGATGTAGCCGGATTTGCATTTACACAGAAAATTCGAAGGAAGATTACAGCATTCGGCATTTTCAACGCAACGTCCCGCGAGCGCTGGATCGTCGCATTCGTTGATATCTGCAGATACGATTTTATAAATAACCAAAACACGTATACGCAATAATTATTATCGTTTTGCAGATAATAAACTTACCCTCGCAGTGAAAGCCGTCACCTCGATATCCGGGAAAGCAGGAACATTGGAAGCTGCCAAGAGTATTTGTACAGTGGGCAAATATATCACAGGGCCGATATTTACACTCATTCTCATCTGTAATTTTTAATTTTTGCGTGAATATTACTTAATATTAAATTAAAGAATAAAAGAGAATAAGCTTACAGTATATATACTTGCGTCGAATTTATCCAAAGGTTTGCGATAGAATATATATGCATTAATTAAATAGTCATGACAAAAGGAGTATTATAGGAGTAATTATTAGTAAATACAGGGTTGTTATAATAATGTATAAATGGAGTTATACAAACCTGGAACTTGACAATTACATCCTCCAAACCCATCATTACAGTGACAGACCGAATTCAGACATACACCGTTTTGACATTTGGTGCCGTCCTCTTTTGTGCAGTCGTCTATAAATAAGATTTTTATAAAACTTATTTTTTAATAATTCTTTTATATCATAAAATATATATTTTAATATAAATATATACATATTTAAGTTTTTAATTTAATAATTTATATTGTT